TCTTCTTTGGTCTGTGACAGTTTTTTATTGTCTTTCCTTGCTTGTCATTACCTCAAGGTTTTTAAAGGAATATTGGCCAAGTGTTCTGTAGAATGTTCCGTTCCTCAGTTTGGGTTTGTCTGATGTTTTCCTCGTCATGGGAGTTACAGATTTTTAAAAAAGAATCCGAGAGTGGTTCTGTACCCTTACTTACCACACCCTATCAAGATGTGCATGATAATCCTTGATACCGAAGGTGGGGTTGACCTCCATCACTTGGCTGAGGTGCTATTTACCGGGCTTCTCCATTGAGAGGTTGCCTTTCCCCCCTTTTCTGCCTTATTCTTGGGAAGCTAGTCCCTAAATGCAGCAGGTCCTTGGGTTAAACTTCACCTCCTGAAGGGGTCAGCAGTACTTTTGACTCTTGTCCTCTGCCCATGTGGGAAGCACTTGGACCTAGTAAATTTCTGTCCAGTTCTGGTGTGAATTTCTCTCCTTGAAGTGTCTCTCCTCTCTCCCTGTGTAGGGCATAATGACTGCCTCCACCTACCTTAGTCCTTGCTTGGGTTATTTCCTTCATTATATATGGTCGGGTTCTACAGGGATTGCTATGTATTTTATAACACAGTAACAGTGACAGTAATCATACCAGCCACCACGTATCGAGTTTCTACAGTTTTTTTCTTATACTGAGTATCTTCTGTGGATTATCTTATCTGATCCTCATAACCAGCCTTTGAGGTGAAATCACTGATGTTCCCCATTCGTTGTACAGATGAGCTGACAGAGGCATCTGTCACATCTCCACCCCAACCACCATTTCTTAGAACTGAGCCTGGTACTGAGCATTTGTTGAGTCAATGTTGAAGTGACTTTGGTGATGAAGTAATGAACAAGACTAAGTTTCCTCCTTGATTCACCTTCTTTGATTAGAGAGCTCTGCTAAAGCGTAGGAAAAATGAACGTCTTAAAAATGATCATTCCCCAAAAGGTTTTGAAAGCAAAGTTTTATCGCATTCCTTTCTTTTAAAAAACTTTCATTGCTGTTGGTGGACTTGTTAAGTTTGCACATAGATTCTATCCTGCACATCATGTCTTTGCTGATACAGTGTTACTGTGTCACTGTTCAGAGTAATGTAATGTCTTAATGAATAAATGAGTGTTTACTTTGAAAGCTGACATCTTGAGTCCAGGAAATGAAGACTTAGGAAGAAATCAGCAGATAGAAGTGTAAAATTAAAACCAAAGTAATGACAGAGAACATGTCATGAGAGACAGACCTGTGGAAGATTTCTTAATGTCATCTTCCAATTCATGTATTTGTGGTAAAAATACGTATACTTGGAGCTCATTGTCTATAAAGTTCTATGCTAGAGAGTAGAATCAAGTCAAACAACGTAGAGAAGGAACCTGTTCTCATAGAGTAATGAGCTGGTGAGGAAGCCAGACACTAAAGAGTAAATAATTACATTCATGATAAGATGTCCTTAGGCAAACAAGAACCCATTGCCAGGAGAATACAGAACCCTCTACATTTCTCACGAAAGCCTCCTTGGCAAAGGGATATTTACACTGAGGTCAAAACCTTCAGCCAGGAGTTTCAGATGTGTTCATTGAATTTATTAAAAGGAAAATACTGGAAATTCCCTGGCAGTCCAGTGACTTAAGACTCCGCACGTCTACTGCATGGCACATGGGTTCGAGCCCTGGTCAGGGAATTAAGATCTCCCTTGTGCCCAGCCAAAAAAAAGAAAATATTTTTCATTCTAGATTGAGGGGAAGTCACTGTTAAATTCCCTTGGTACTAATCTGTTGGCAGTATGTCTCAATCAGATCTAATTCATACCAGACTCTTAACAGGTGAACAAGGAGTTACTCTTGGCGGCCAAGCTACCCTGCGGTTTCTACCTCTGAGCCCCATGCCTCCCCATTTTGAGAAGATAGCCTTGCATATTAGATTGTCATGTCAGAGTTGGTGAACTGCTCTAAATAGGTCCAGCTGTTAAAATGCAGATATTCTAAGAAAGAGTCCATAAGAGGAAACCAAAATGCACATGACTTTCTCTTCTTGTTATAGGTGGGTAATCCCAGATCTGAGAGAGGAAGGCTTCTTGCTGATTGCTTTCCCTCCTTCAAAACTAGGTTTCAGTCAACCACAGTGGTTTGGTTTTGTTTTGAGTCATGTTTTTTGCTTAAAGGCATTATTCAAAGTTTTGAAAAACAAAGCATTCAATGCTATGAGACTTGTGCATCTGGAAATGATTAATGATATAATTCTCAGTCCTTTTATAAAGTGTCTGAACACTGAAGAGATTTATACAGTGTGGAACGGCTGTGGTGCTTCAGCGTGAGAATAGGTAATCGATACCTGCAAGCTTGAAAAAAGTGTTCTGTTTCCTCCACTAATGACATAAGGGGTTTTTGCAAAGCAAGGGTGTCTGGAGCATGAAGCACTCCAAAGAATTAATTTAAAATCTGAAGTGAAAGATCAGTTTCAATTAAAATTACACTTGAGCATTTATTGGGTAGAAGTGTGAAAGCAAGCATGGTAGTTGGCTTAAATCTTCAGATTTTTACCAGTGAATAAATGAATCTCACTGATATGAACCCTGATTATATTTTTATAGAGTGCTAACTTATATTTCACCCATGCCTGGCAGGTTATGAGAAGTACTGTGAATGGCAAGTATCTATCAGAGGTTACAGAGTTTGTTTGTTTTGTTTTCTTTTTTTTTTTGTTAGTAGGATAACTACCAGGTGTCTAGGTGTTTTTACAAATGATGGCTTGTGTTCTTAGTTCTTTGGAGTCACATGTGTTGCAATTGATTTTTTACCATGTGTTTTTTTCCCATTGAGTGTAATTTTATTGTAGTAGTGAGTTTCTGAAAGACATTACATACATACATAAACACACACAATATTCTAGCACTTCAGTTTCCATATTTCCAACATACAGGCACAGTTGTAGCTTAGCTAGAATTAACATGGTGCTCAGCTATCAAATACATCAACGGCACTTTATTCAATCTTTTAAGGAATCTTTTTGGGATGTGGAAGAAAATCTAGAGCAAATAGGATAATTGGAGCCATTCCCATCCGCTTTCCTCTCCTTTTTTTCTTCAACTATATTTATGCAAGGTGCAACATACACAGATGCACGCTCTGTTCCTTCGTGACTCATCTCACACAGTCTTAGGGAATTTGACCAAGAGGTGACATGACATGAGCAAACAGCCCTTGACAATTCCTAATGTAGTTGGAATCCTGCAGTAAAGGAAGTGGTGATGCTGACTTTTTGCAGAAAGTCTTCTGGCACTTACAAGTAATTGTGAAACGTGCCCTGAGGTCGCTAAATCTTTGCCCAGTCAGTGAATGTTCTTTCTGATAGTCTCTTTTATCTTAGTCTTTGGGATGAGGATTAGGGAAAAGGACCCAGGCATAGAGTGAGGCTGAGCTCTTTGCCAGAGAGCAAGCATTTGAATCATTTGGGGGGCAGCTTTGTCAGTTACTTTTGCAGCCATGAAGCTTCCATTACTGTGACTGAAAAGGTTTTTTGTGGTCACCCCTTTGTTCATGGTACCCCTGTTTGTATCTGCTGTGAGCTGTATCAGACTTAGGGGAATGGGGAAATCCATGGTCAGTGAGTGTGTGGTGGGTGTCGGGCACAGGTGTGGACTCTTGGTAAGAGGGAGACCTAAGATGTCCTCATGTCTTCCATCGTGCAAGGCTAAGTATGGAATGAGGCAGAAAGGAATGGGTTCATGGATGAGTTGATCACCTAAAGTCACTTTGGCCATTCATCCTCTTTTATTTGATATGTGAAGAAATTTAAAGCTTAAAAAGCCCCGCTAGGAATACAAGTATGTGTATGTGTTTATTTATACACTAAACTATATTGATTTATAAGCCTCAGTTTTAACTTCTAATCATTTTACAGTTATTACATGCTGCTATATATAAAATAGATAATTAAGAAGGACCTATAGTATAACACTGGGAACTACTCTATGACCTCTATTCAAAAAGAATCTGAAAAAGAATATATATGTATATGTATAATTGAATCAATTTGCAATACAACCTGAAAGTAACACAACATTGTAAATCAACTGTACTCCAATATAAAATAAAAAATTGAAAAATTATACTGTTTCAACCTATTATATATCTGGTTTTCAAACAAAAAAATGTATCTTAATCTCTCTAGTAAATGATTTTTTTTCTAGTTGACTACTTCTGCTTTGTCGTGTCACGAAGTTTGTAAAATTTTCTCTCCCTATGTCTGCTTGACACTCATTAGGGTTGTGCATGATAACTGCTTTCTCTTTGTCTATTTCCATGGAATATGTCCCTCCAAAATCTTTATATGAATGCTGAGTCTAGTCTTAAGGTAGCTTTGTATCCCCATCTCCTATGACAAAGAGGGGCTGAGAAAGAGAAATGAGTGCCTTAATACGTAAGTGTTCAAACTGGCTATAGTGAAAAATCTCACAATTAGCCAAAGGAAAACCATATTCTATTGAGTACATTGTTTGTAGTGACTCTCATCTAGTGTTGTGTTGCTTTTTTTTCTAGTTCAGAAATTCCTAGAAACATAACAAAAAGTTGTTTCATATAATGTTCACAATAGCAGAACATGCTAAATTGATGAAGGTGTTTTCTTGTGAATAAATGTTCTGTTTATTTTAGGAAAATTATTTTTAAAACAATTTTTTTTTAAATGTGAATAACTCCGACAACTCTTCTGCTTAATTTTCTTAATTGGGTAATAGAAAAAATGAGCAAATATTTGATTACAAATCAAGAAGCCAAACTATCTCAAGTGAGATTTTTTACTTACATTTTCTTGCCCTATCCAGCAAGTGGCTTGGGCTGAGCTTTCCAGTGCAGTAACATCGTTGGGGTGGGGATACATAGGAAAATGTATCCTGGCAGATGAAGTGCTTGACTTTTGTGTGTCTTATTCATTCCATCTGTGCCCTTTGAGCCACAGGAATTGAAATCTTGTCTTCTCTTAACAGGTGCCTACGGTCCTGAGCACTGGGTCACGTCCAGTGTCAGCTGTGGCGGCCGTCAGCAGTCGCCTATAGACATTTCGGACCAGCATGCACGTGTCAGTGAAGAGTACCAGGACCTGCAACTTGATGGCTTCGACAATGAGTCTTCTAACAAAACCTGGATGAAAAACACAGGGAAAACAGGTAAACTGCATCTTCTTTACCTGTCTGTAGGACAACATGAAATGTTTATGGTGTCTCTGGTCTGTACCTTAACCATGACTTGTTCGTTTAGTTGTACACGTTACTATAGACAACATAAAGCTGAGTGAGAGCTCTGGAACTGACCCTCGGTTTAAGAACTGGCTGCTTGCTATACTAGCTGTGTGATTTTGGGCAAACTGCCTAACCACTTTGTGCTTAAAGGTTTTTTTTTTTTTCCAATGTGACAGGGTAAAAATATAAAGATAAAAATGTATATGGATAATAACGTATATGTATCAATCTCATAGAATTGTTAAGATTTGAGTGGGTCAGTCCATGTAAATTATATAGAATGAACTTTGAGACCTCTGTTCTAATATGGTGACCACTAGCCATATGTAGCTATATTTAAATTTAAATTAATTAAAGCTAAGTAAGATTAAAGTTTATTGCCTTAGTTTTAGTAGCTGTGTATAGTTTTTTGTTTCCTGCCTTCTTAGGGTGTCTGTTTGCAATGTTGGAAAGCAGAGGAGACACACATTAAGATCTTTGTATTTTGGGGGTAGAGGTGTAGGGGTCACCTTTATTTTTTTCAGCTTTGTTAATATATAGGACTTCCCAAGTATCGCTGGTGGTAAAGAATCCGCCTGCCAGTGCAGGAAATGCAAGAGACATGTATTAGATCACTGGGTCGGGAAGGTCCCTGGAGTCAGAAATAGCAACTCACTACAGTATTCTTGCCTGGAAAATTCCTTGGGCAGGGGAGCCTGGCGGGCTATATAATCCATGGGGCTGCAACGAGTCAGACATGACTGAGTACCTGAGCACACATTAAGATATAACTGGCATATGACATTTTGCCATTTCATTTTTATTGGTCATTTCTTTTGCAGTGCAGAGCTTTTTATTTTGGTGAGTCCTGTTTGTTTGTTTTTGCTTTTGTGCTGTGTTCTCTTAGTGTCATATCCAAATTATCATTGACATGACCAGTGTCAACGAGCTTTCTCCCTATGTTTTCTTCTAGGAGTTTTATAGTTTCAGGTCTTAAATTTAAGTCTTTAATCCATTTCACGTTACTTTTCATGAGGGATGTAAGGTAGTGGTCCAGCTTCATTCTTGTGTGTGAATGTCTCATTTTTCCAACACCATTTATTGACAAGACTATCCTTTTCCCATTGAGTTTTCTTGGCTCTTTTGTCAATTATAAGCGAATAGTCATATGTGTGGGTTTATTTCTTAGACTCTAGATTGTATTTCATTGGTTGATGTGTTTATTTGTATGCTGGTTCCATACTGTTTTGATTATCATAGCTTTGGAGTATCATTTGAAATCAAGAAGTATAATGCTTCCAGCTTTGTTCTTCTTTCTAAGGATTCCTTTTCTTATTCAGGGTCTTTGGAGGTTTCATAGGAATTTTAAGATGGTTTTAACTTTTTCTGTGAAAAACACCGTTGGAGTTTTGATAGGAATTTCAAAGAACCTGTAGATCTCTGTGGGCAGTATTGTACTAGCCACATTTTATATGTTCGGTAGCCATATTTAGCTAGTGGCTACCATAACAGGCTGCACAGTCAGAGAACATTCTATCTTTACAGAAATTTCTACTAGACATCACCATGCCAAATGCACAGATGGAAATGCATTTCTTATCTTCCTTGAGAATTTGATTTGTTAATATTTGTTTTGTATTACAATACAGATGAACACTGTCTTATCCCTTTGTGTATCAGACCAGCAGTTTGATCCTCCGGCTTCCTTTTCCCTACCTCACCTTTCACTTAGGGTCCATGAATATGAAATACCACATTTTCAGAATTGCTAATGCAAAGTGCTTCCCTCTTAATCACTACCATGCAAATAACAGTTACAGATTGTTGATGGAAGTAGCAGAGATTGCCTTGCTGTGCCCCACTGTTTTATTTGAAAATAACTGCTTAAGTGTTATATTACATTTGTGCCTAGTGTTAACTGGGATTCTGTGGTGCTAAAGGTATTTTTTCTTATCTTATTCTTCTACTCTTATAATCCAACCCATTAAAACTGACTCACTCTCTCTCTCTTTGAAACATTCCCTTTGTAACCCAAGGATATCAGTACAGAGCACTCCAAGCAATCCCTCCAGGACCGTTGGCTGTGCAGCCCTCATGTGAAGCTAAAATGACTCCATTATTTGTCTTTTGGTCCCATTCATGTTGTGGGTCACTGAGTTGCCTTTAAAAAACAACAACAACAACAATACCTAACTGGCTGCACGTACAACTTTAGGCCTCCATTTTCTTTCTCTGAACCAGCATTTGTCAGAGATTTTTTGTGGCTGATTGCTTTGGGTTGGTCTGACTTGATCTTAGAATTGTTTCCCATTCAACACAGTGGTTCCTGGCTTCGAGCTCTTTTTCATAATGTCCCCATAAACAGGTCTTCGAGCATTATAGCAGGCTACTTTCTCCTGTACCTTGATTCATCCATTTGAGCAGCTGCTCAGGACAAGCTTGTATACCAGTGATATTATTTATACACCCCTTTTCACCTGCACCTTTCTACTCCCTGAGTTTAGATGGTGTGTTTATAGTTACAACTCAGATTTTTTCTGACAGTAGCTTTGCTGCGTGTTTCAAATGTGAGTGTCCTTTGGAGATCCGTGATGGGAATATTACTCCACAGTCAGTCTGAATGTGGTGGACGAGAGCTTTGCTATGCTGCAGTAATCAGATCTGGGGGTTGAGTGCCACCTTGGTGCCACATTCCGGAAGCCTGCCAAAGGCAATTTGCTGGGCTCTCTGATACGGTTTTCTACTTGACTTGAAACGCTTGACAGCCTTCTGCAAAGATAACATATTTCAGTGACAGCTTTCAGCTTGGTATCTCCAATGACAGGTTTTAGACAAGTGTAGGGTTCACTTAGTGCAAGTTGATTCATGACCTTGGTCTTCCAGAAGCTTATTATCAATCTCTGTCACTCTGCTGGCCTCCAGAGTGATCCACAAGTTGTTGCCTATCTGTGGGCGCATGCGCCTGACTTTAGAGCACAGCCATCCAAATATGAACGCATCTGTCTCTGAAATTCAGAAGTACGGCTTTCTGAGAAGCAGAAATAAATCTTTGTAACTTCTCAAACTGTGCTTATGACTTCAAAATTTATGACATCATACTCGACAGGCTAATAGCCCATAAATAATCAACCTAACATGTTTCCATAGGAGTGATTTTTTTTTTTCAAGTACCAACCATTAAAAAAAAATAATTTATTTATTTTAATTGCAGGCTAATTACAATATTGTGGTAACTTTTGCAGTAGATTTACATGAATCAGCCACGGGTGTACATGTGTCCCCCATCCTGAACCCCCCTCCCACTTCCCTCCCCATCTCATCCCTCTGGGTTGTCCCAGTTCACCAGCTGTGAGTGCCCTGTTTCATACATCGAACTTGAACTGGTGATCTATTTCACATATGGTGATATACATATTTCAGTGCTATCCTCTCAAATCACCCCACCCTTGCCTTCTCCCACAGAGTCCAAAAGTCTGCTCTTCTTATGTGTCTCATTCGCTCTTGTGTATAGGGTCATCGTCACCATCTTTCTAAGTTCCATATATATGCATTAATATACTGTATTGGTGTTTTTCTCTCTGACTTACTTCACTCTGTATAATAGCCTCCAGTTTCATCCATCTCATTAGAATTGATTCAAATGTGTTCTTTTTAATAGCTGAGTAATATTCCATTGTGTATATGTATCAGAACTTTCTTATCCATTTGTCTGCTGATGGACACCTAGGTTGCTTTCACTTCTTAGCTTTTGTAAACAGTGCTGCGATGAACATTGGGGTATGCAGTGTTAAATGTAAACATTGAATTGTATTTTCTGTTCTCTTAAAAGAGTTTTAGCGTATGTTTCTCTAGAAACTTGGGTGCTGAAAAACCTGTCTTGTTCCTTATTTTTTTTTGAATATGCATGAACCTAGGAACAGCTTTATTCTGTTCTTAAAATATCAGATGAGTTCATAAATATTCCAGCATTTTTAGTGAAATGAAGATCCATTTGCTTTGTCTATTACTCCTGGATCATATAAATTGAGTTGAACACAGTACAAATACAGGGCAGGATGCTGTGTATCTGAATTAAATGTGGGAGTTGATAATACCAACAGTGAATAGTATTGATAGGCAAGCTGGATAATATTTGTTAAAGAAAAATACATACCATTGTACTTTAGTTTTATAAGATTTGACCGTTTGGGGAAACTGAATAAAGGGGACACAGGACCTCTATATTATTTCTTAAAACTACATGTGGATCTGCAGTTATCAGGAAGATTAAAAGTTTAATTTAAAAAAAAAGTATATCATGAGTCACATTGTCTTTGATATCATCATTCATTTTGGATCTAACTTTCTTGCCTAGATGCCAAAAAAACTTATTTTTCTTCAGTCATTAATTTTTGAGCCCCAAAAGTCTTTCCTTGAAACTTGCACTTCCACAAAATAAATTCAGGAAGAGATACTCATTTTTTCTGTTGGAAATTTACAGGTCACTTATCTGTAAAATAGACTGTCTTTTGGATATTAAAATATGAATACAGAAAGTTAATATTTAAAGCGGCCTGTAACATACAGACAGTAACTTTCCCATAAAGCAGTTTTAATGTTCATATCTGTCTTAACCTGTGGAGAGGACCATATATCCAATTCAGCATAATCAATAGAGCACTGTGGTTGTCCGTAGTCCACTTCTCGAAAGTTGTCTAAAATATCTTTAGAGGACAGATAGCATCTCTCTGTTTCTTTCTGAACAGCCATAACTCTCTATTGTGCCAGTTCTCATTTGATTTCATCTCAAGTTATTTCCCTTTCTTTCATCTTTGTAGAATGCAAAGATAATGCATTCAACAAGAACGTTTCAAGATAATCTTGCTGTCCCTAGCATTAGCTTCTAACTAAATGATTGGAATTTAAGATGTAGATAGTGGTTCTGGTCTATGTTAATAAGCCATGGTCTC